CACAGCTGCAGACACAACAATAGTGTGAATTAGAGAACAAATTAAATGCTCACCTTTTGTTTGACTTAGGAAAAGTAAAAAAAAAAGGTTCAGACGAACAGAACCGAACCGAGCCAGGGGAAAAGTTTCACCAGAACCCAAAAGGAACAAACTCCAACTCCAAACTCAAACCGGGAAACGCAACTTTCACAAAAAAAAAGAAGAAAAGGAAAAAAAAAACGAGCCATGCGAGTACAAGAAAGGAAGAGAATTTTCCAAAGAATGAAGAAAACTTCCAGTCAATTGTCTGCTGTCAGCCCATTTAACTGTGTTTTCCCTACGCACTTCATCTTTGTACCATTTTTGTTGTTGTTCGCCCTCAAAATTTTCAATCACTTTTTATCTGTAAGCGTTAAGCGGCGACCATTTCAAAATCAATCAAATTTATGACTTTGCAAAGTTTTGCTGGCAAGTTTTTGTCTCGTTGTTGGTGGATATTTTTTTTAGCCGCAGCTCTAGCCATCGTTGAATTTTGTGTAACTTGAATCGAAAAGCTGGCAATCATCATTCATGGCACATGCCATTGACCTCGTTGCGTGGCAGTTGGGGCATTGCGGCGGGATCACGCAGGGGGCAACACTCTGTCATTAGATACGCATTCAAGCGGGTAGGGCAGGGGATGCAGGGTAGGGTAGGAGGAAGATTTGCAGATTGGTCCACCACATCGATGTCATATCGATGGCGTTGGTTGACCAAATGTATTTTGATACCAAAGTGGGATTTCATTAATGCCCGCACAAGGTCGAACAAATTAAATAAAATCTCAATTTTACATTTATAAATTGTCGGCAGAAAGCAACGGATTGAGAGACAGCCACACACTCTCTGTAAATATCAACAGAAATCAATCAAAATTAATTTCAATGACACATAAACATGATATCCAGCGTAAACTGAAGAGTGACTCAAAGTTTTTCATAATTTCAGGAAACTTTTGCCACAACTAATCCCATTAAAGTATTTAGATTTTGTCGCTCCATGGAAAGTTATGTCTATTTATATCTAAAGTGTCTAGAAGCTAATTTTAGCTATAAAGAAGACGCAAAACTTTAGCTAAAATTCTTCAAAACACGACAAATCTGCTCCGGCTAGAGTCGAGAGTATGAAACCCCCCCCCCTGACGACGACAATTAATAATGTCAAGAGATGACAAGAGCTTTCCTGAGCTAAGAGTTTCTTCATAACGGTTAATCATCTCTAAAGAATTGACATCGCTGCTCCCCTCTGCCGTTTGGCCACGATTAGGGTTCGTAATATGGGAGAGGGGGAACGCAAGGGGGGCAAGAAAGAGTGTTTTTCTAATAGCAAACAAGTCTTCAATCTCCATCTCATAATTACATTTTACACTCATTGAATTTGTGGACCGGATTTCGGTTTGTCTTTTCGTTTTTTGGTCGCTTTTTGCCTGCTACGCATCCAAACGGTTTATTTACATTATAAACAACTTTTTCCATCTGTCTCTCTCCCGCTCTCTGTGATGGCAACAATTTACTTTCCATTTATGTTTGCTCTTGACAAAGTTTTGTACCTTATTTAGTACATTTCTCTAATGACCCACTTTGAGTTTTTGGTCTTGTCTGCTCTCCCTGCCTCTCTCTCTCTCTTGCTGTCTCTCTCTTTGCCCCTAACTTACTCTGTAATTTCCAAACAAGAAAGAAAATGTATGTATCTCTGTGGGTCGAAGATTTAGATACACTTTGCAGATCGTTGATCAAGATTCGTTTTGCTTTTGTTCGAACTACCTTAACAATTCGAAGAGTTGTGTCTCCCCTGATCTTTTATGCCGTATTACATCTTTAATTGTATATTTAATCTACATATATATGAATGTTTTATGCACTCTCCAATCTTTGGTTGAATTATCAATAGAAACAACAAAGAACTCCGACAATAAATTACATTTCGAACCATCATTTTGCTGTTCATACATTAGGGATTACCTGAGAAGAAGACTTCCAATCTAGAACTCAATAAACTCAATGACTCTGACTTCTCTCTTTACTACTTATTAACTATAAATAAAGTCGAAGAACGCATTCCTTATGCGCATTTCAAAACATCTGTGTGCGGAAATCATAGTAGCCCCCACGCTTGTAAGCGTATTAAAAGTGAGTGTCCCATAAGGCCAGACCAAGAGACAAATACAAGACACAGTAAACAGTAAACAGCAACAACAAAAAGTTGTTTGTCAGATGTAGTTGAAATCAAACTGGTTACTCGATGCTGCTGTTGTTGCTGTCTGTCTGCCTGGCTGCCTGTCCGCCGGTCTCTGTCTGGGTCCGTGCATCGTCCATCGTTCATCGGCTTTGGTCAAGCCGGGCCCAAATGGTGTCAGCTGTGTAAACAGGGCTAAGCAAGCGGATCGCCAGCAGTTTAGCTCCTCATTTCGCCTCTTCGCTTGCCCCTTTGCCTGTTTCCCTCCCGTTGCTTGCGTTGCCGCAGCCAAGCCGAATGAAAACCCTGCCCTGAACTTGACGATGCATGTGATACGGTTGAACGCCTTTTGCGGAAATTATTGCAATTTTCTTGTCTTCTAGCCAACACACATCTTAAGTAGTGGGGAGTGTGTGGCAAGCACTGTGAAAATGGGCTTGGGCAGCTTTTTGGCGGTAAATTTACTTTCACTTTTGCTGCACAAAACAAGCTGGTGGAGGAGCTACACAAGGAAGTTCGCTCAAGGGGGGAAATATTCATTAGAACTTTGAAATTGAGCAGTTTGAGTTAAAGTTTCCAACAGGAGACTCAAATCTGCACCTAAAAACAGTATTCTTCAAAGAAGTTACCTGAGTATAATCTTCACTGCGAAACCCTTAAGTTCTATTGAATATTACCTTGCACTCTAAATCCGTAAACTCACTAAAGGATTTACTCAAGAGTGAAGCCTGGATTTAGCATGGATTGCCAAAGGCCAATAGCATTTCCTACTCTACCCTCTGGTCATTATAGAGACTCTTCCGACCGACTGACACTGGCAAACACACAAACAGAGTACACTGCCACATTGATTGCAACTTGGTTAAACAACAACAAATCATTTAAACAAATCAAACCCCAACAGGCACACAGAGGAGACTACGCGCACGAAGAAGAGGAAGGAAGGGGCAAACATGGAGACCTATCTGACGGAGATCAAACAATTGCGCATACCACGCCCGAAATTCGAGCCCAACAGTTGCCACCAGCAACACCAACATGCGGTGGCAGGCACATCGACAAGCTCCAGCACCACCTCCAACACGCCCACGCCCCCCCATCATCATCAGCGGCCGTGGCGACACTTTGTGCGACCCTTTACGCCGCCACGCGATTACCATCTGCCGATGGTGGCCGGAGGAGCATGGTCCGCGGAGGAGGCCTCCATGCACGACAAGATGTGAGGCGGGGTCGGCGGAGTAGGAGGTGCGGCAGGAGCGGTCTGCGGTCCGTTTGACCTGCCATCGAATTGCTTACACTTATTGGCTATATGCACATGCTATACATAACATACATATATCTCTCTCTGTATATGTACATATGCACGATATATACATACTTATAATTGCTTAATTTAGTGATTCAGTTTAGTGTTTAGTTATGTAGTTTAGTTACCTTAAACATATAGAGTTACAGTTACACAGATGCAAGGAATAAAGTATACAAAAATTTGTAGAGATTTGCTTTAAGGAGTCGTGTTACTTGTCTGGGATTAAGGTAAGAGTAAGGAGTATATGGAATGGATTGTCTAAGAATTGGCATAGAGACATATGAAGTGTTTCATTATGATGGATAGATATGAGAGCGATACTCGATAGATTTAAGTTTGTAGCTTCCTCCATTGATGATCAAATGCCAAATGCAGTGACCTTTAGCGATCTACTTGTATCTTTTACAGTTCTCTAGATCCCTACAGCAGATGGACCAGATCGCTACACGCTACTCACCGCATCTTGTTCGTATTCCGGTAATAGGGTTTCGCTTCCCCGGCGAGCTCTGGTTCTATGCTCATCACAGCCGTATTCCTAGCCGGGACGAAAGAATTTACAAGAAAATATTTTTCAGCTTCTGGTATGCTTTTGATTTTGTGGTGACCAATTCAAGAGTATACTCTATAATACTATTACAACAATTAACAGCCAATTGGACAACATTTAAGAAAGGAAGAGAGACGTTTTTAAATATTGTAAGCCACACTTTACAGACACTCTGGACATGGAAATACATTTAAATATACCAACAAAAATGACATTAGACCCGACACACAAAAGACATAGAGAAAGAAAGACACACAAAAGTACACAGAGATACATAAATAGAACAGATCAAACAGACAGACAGATAAAGAGACAGAAAGAGAGAACTAAAGCCCTCGAAACGCGACGAGCTTCTACTCCCGAATGTCAATTTTGCAGCTTCATGAGATTATTACATACAAATAGATTCAAATATAACACGAAAATTATAGTCAAGGGAAGTTTACAATTATTTGAAGAAACTAAAGAAGACAGTTTCAGAATTCTTCCATAAATACTTGCAGAACTTTTCCTAAAGAATTTCTTTCATACATGGAAAGTTTTGCATTTGTTGAGAGTTAAGGAATTTTGTCAGCGAGGGGAGGAAACTTCTAGCAAGAACAGAGTTTCCTGCAGTTTCCTGGAATAGTGAAAGTAATCGAAGACTGGGTGCTAGCTTTGGTTTGGTACACGTTTTTTTCTGGATTGACTTTGCTACACGTTTTTGGTTTGTTTTGGGGCTCACACACGCTTCATGCCTGACCTGTTGCTGATTGTCTTTGGTTTGCTTGAGTTTTAACTGATTTGGTCCCAACTGCTGCTGCTGCTGGTGGTGGCGATGAGGATGCTGACGCATGGACACAGATCCCACGTTGCCGCTGTTCATGTTGATGCCACCCAGATGACGCAATGAGGCATGATGAGGTGGATAATGCTGTTGCTTTTGCTTTTGCTTTTGCACTTGCTGTTGTTGTTGTTGTTGTTGTTGGGGTGTTGGCGATAATGATGATGAAGATTGGTTACTTGCTGTCTGATAATGTGATGCTGGCTGTGCGCGATGCAGTATTGGTCCCGCCGACATGGGCCGATATGGCAACTGGATTGCGGGTCTAGTTCATATACACATACACATATATATACACATAATATATAATATACGATATGTCAGTTAACAGTTACTGATGGGATGTTGGGATAGGTGGTGGGGTAAAGGTGGAAATGAGGTGGAGGAGGTGGTGCTCTAGACTGGAGTTATTTTCAAGGTACCGTTTGTGTATATCCGTTACGGTCATGCCCAGTCCCGAGTCCGATGAGGGACTACGTCCGGTGGCGGCTATAATCTCCAAATCGTCAGCTGTTACCTGTTGGAACGAACGGAACGGAGCGTAATGGAACGGAATGGAACGATTTCAGAGAGCGAGTGACACAGTGAGGAGGCTGGGCAGGGGCAGTGACAGTTTGACAGATTGAGTGAGTGAGTGAGTGAGGAGTGGGGGGGGGGCGAAGTTTCTTCTACAGAGCAAAGTCAGAGAAACAGACACAGAGAGAGAGAGACAGAGAGTTGAAGAGCGACAGAGAGAGAGAGAGAGACAGCGGGAAAGAGTGTGGAAGTGCAGCTCTTCATATATATGTATATATAGCTATAGGATATATCATATATTATTATTAATATTTATATGGTGGCGGTGCTTGATCTGTTTGACTGTTTACTGTGTACCATTAGGTGCAGTTTGCTTGTGGAATTACATATTTAATTTGATATTTTACAGTAATTTTAATGCTTACATAGCTAGAGATAAACATCCCCCAGAAGCAATTTAAGTGTTGCCTTTTTTGTTTATTTACATCTATCGATTCACACGCCTTTTTGGAGGCAACTGTACTTGTACTTGTACTCCTCTAAAGCTCAGATAATATTTGTGGGTTTTCTTGTGAAAAATTGACATTCGTTTTCGTTTGTTTCTGTTCTGATTTATTTCATGTGGATTTTGCGGGGGCCGAATTAGGGTAAAAACTCTCACAACTCAACAGAAAGGAATAACATGCAGCATTTTGGGGGAAAATTAAATGAAGCATTAAACAGGTTCTCGAGTTTCAAGGTGGGGCTGGTACACAACTATTTATTAAGTGTGTAAGTACGTATCTCGTTCGGCAATTAAACTACAAGTTTCGTTTTGGTTTTGTTACTTTTTGTCCAGTGTTATTTATGTATTTTGTCTACAGATATATCGTTAAAGTTAAAGTAAAAGTTACAAACATACAACGACAACAACAACAACAATAACAAGAAGTGAAAGATTTAACTAAATAATAAACATCTTGTAGGAGAGAGAGAGAGAGAGAGTAGATACACGAATACACACATGTAAATGTATCTGTAGAAGACATTCGAGAGCTGATCTATTCGACTTTACTTGTCTGAACATGCTCAGCGTGTGTGTGTGTGTGTGTGTGTGTGTAGATCTAAGTATATATTGTGTCTGGGTCGTAGAATAAATCGTCTAAAAAGCTTACCGGCAAATCACGGGCGGGGTCTCCCTTACGCTACAAAAAAGCAAAGATTGAATATTAAACAAATGCATTTAGGAGAAAGTAGGAGAGGCAACTGCCACGCTCACCCTATGCCTGTCCACGCCATAAGGATCGCGCTCCCGGCGATAGACGAGCTCATCGTATCGCGTGCGATCCTCGGGGAACACAAGTTCTCGGATCTCCGTCACTAGCGTGTGCTGGAAAGGGGAAAAAAAACATTTCAAATACTCATTATATCTATCAGAAATCTAAGTAGTTCCCAAGCGCACCTTTTCGTACGTATCTAACATCTCTAACAAGACGGCAACAAAGGCATCTATGGTCATTGCTTTCCCACTATACTCTGCAATATAGTAGGAGAGGCTTGCAAAATGAGGACGGGGCAGCAGAGAGCGGGCCTTCTCCTCCACCATGGTCGCAATCTGACCTTTTCGGCGTGCCCTAAAAAGCATTTCAATCATTCAATCGAGCATTAGAATTCATCCAGCAAGAGAGAAATTCAATCCGTACCTTGTGCCTGTTGGACTGTAGGCATCCCAGGGCTCCATCTCGATGGAGGTACAGGAATGCGGCACTTTGCCCACATCACGTATCACCAGCGACATTCGCTTGTGGTATTTCAACTGACCAACGGCCTCGTCGTGCGTCACATCGAGAAACGATTGGCCATTGACTTCGAGGATTTCGTCGCCGATCATCAGACCACACCGATCGGCCACACTATCCTTGTCCACGCCGGTGACAAAGATCCCCAGACCGTACTCTACGCCGCCGCGTATCATCAGGCCCAAGGACTGTCCCGGCTCTATGAGCAGCTCCACGCGACGTATCCTGAAAGAGTCATAAATCATAAATGAACAATGATCTCTGCTGCGACCAAGTCTGAACTTACCGATCTCGTCGATCGCTCCGTCGGCCCCCGTACTCCATGGGCGGTGAGGCGGGCCGGCCATGTCGATCCATCCAGGAGCAGGTCTGCCGGAAGGGCAAGCCCGCTCCCGATGCCGCCGCCGCCGCCGCCGCCGCTTGATTCTGTGGATGCAGGGGTGGTGCCATCGACGCGTACATGGGATCGCGGGAGGGTGGACCGAATCCGTGGAGGGGCGCCGTCGAGTTCAGCGTGGGCGGGGCTCTCACCGTCATACTGATTTGACGTGACGATTTCAATATCTGCACACATCTCTGCGTTAAGAAAAAATGTGGCAATAGAAGAGACACAAAAGAGAGGACAGATGCGAGCAGAAAACGAACGAACCAACCAGAGCACAGAAGAGACAGAGTAAAAAGAGTAAAAAAGAGAAACGGGAGCAAAAGGTACGAAAATGAAATCAAAACCAACCGAATTAAAACCCAAAAACTAATAATTGCTTTACAAAAATTCAAAAATTAAATACTTTTACGTAAAATTACGAAATTATTAATTAATTTTAATTGTGGGCGTGTCCGTAGCGTATCCCTCGCGTAATCCCACCGCCCAACCCCGCCCGACTTTCATTTGCCGTTGGTTTTTGTGGTTCTGCTGTCATTATTTTAATTGTTTCTGACCAAAAATAAGAAGGCAACGAAACTAATGTGAGAATGTGCAAAACTTGTTTGGCTCCAGGGGGGCCTTCTGTCGGTCGGTGCTTTGTGCTGCGTGCAAATGTGTCGGCTCGGGGCGGGTCCGGGTCTGGTCTGTGAATCCGCCCAGGTGTCGCCCAGGGTGCCCTTTCCTTTTCCACCAACTTGTGGGTCTTGCGGTTTGTTCAGTGTATTAATTTTTCGGGTTCTCGTTGCTTTTCCTCACACATCGAAATTTCGGTTGGCTGAAAACACGCACACAAGAAATTCGAGTATTTCTTGTAATGCAGAGGGGGGAGCTAAGCCACCTCAAAGTGTGTTTAAGTCAGCTCTTAGAGGTTTTCTCTTATTGATAGCAAAGCCATCGCTTAGTGTACTCAACTGTACTTTAGTTAGTCGTCAGTCTTGTGGGTCAACAGAAGCTACCAAAATGAAATTGCATCTAATTAAGTAAATTAATATGTACATACACAAAAACGATTCAAATACAAAATGCGACTAATCTATTGCCAATTTTTTCTCAGTGTATATTTGTATTAGTGTGTTATTGGGTTTTTATACTTTTTTTTGTTTGTTTTTGTCGTTATATTCATACAAAAATGTATCGAGTGCATAAAGGTAGCGTACGTATACGTATTTTTATGTATTTTGCATAGGAAAAACTACAGGAAAAATCGTTCAGAGCAGGCACAAATTGATGCAGCACACCGCCATACATAGATAATTGTATTTTGCATATGGGTAAGTATCTTCCAAAACAAGTTTTGTCGAACATAGTTAAAGTTTAAATTGGAAAAAAGCGTGAGAAATGGCACAACATGTGGCAGTCTCTCGTCCCTTGAACTCCCCTTTGATGCTCTCATTCCTTTGAGCAATCTAGTAATATACATGAAGAATTATATTGACTATCAGAACGTGTCACATAAAATATTCCACAATAAATTGACTTTCGTTGTTAGACAGCTGCCGGTTGTCGGGGAGTGGCAGAGGCTCTGGCGGCAGCCCTTCTTTTCGTTACTCTTCCAAGTGTCGGCCATAAAAGACGATGTTGGCCTACTGAATATAGTCTACTTGTTTTATCTGTACACATAAAAGCTTGATGGATAGGAGGCTATTAGGGCCAACTATTAAGGAGGACCACGTTTGACAAACTGAAGCTGCCCGGCCCTGGGCCCGGCCCCCGACTCGCTGTATTCAAGAAAATCGCATTAAAAATCAATAAAGTGTACAATAAAATTTGATATTTTTGATAGGAGATGAGTTTGACATTGCTGTCAGTGTCGTGGGATAAGCACAGAGAAAGAAACGAGTGACAAGAGTGTCCATGTTTCCCAGCAAGTTTCCACTTTGAGTTTCGGTCAACAGATTTTCACCCTTTTATTTGTTGCTACATTTTTTGTTTGCATGCTCTAATCGATTTTTGTCTAAGTATAGAGAGAGCGAGAGAGAGAGAGAACATGAGCTACTACAAAATATATATTTTATAAATATGTAGAAAAGGAGATATAAATAAATGTATTTTGTGTGTAAGTTATGCGAGGGATGCTCACCTTCAGCGCCTCCTCGTGATTGATTGAGGTGAATGGGGTGCCGTTCACCTCTAGGATTGTATCACCGGGTCGCAGTCCGGCGCGCTCGGCCACCGAATTCTCCTCGATGCGTGAGATGTAGACGCCCAAGCCTGGTCGGAGAGTGCAAAATGGTTATAAAGGGAATCAATTAGCTTAGAGACATTCAAATCCAACCCTGTACCCAGCCAGCCTTTTCCATGGACCATTTTGGTTTTTTATTTTTTCATTAAGCTCTGCCACGCTCAGCCTGGAAGTGGCTTCAGGATGGAGTGCGGCAGCCATTTTATGTTTAATTTATAAAGCACATGTGCCTGTGTGTGTGTGTGTGTGTGTGTGTGTGTGTGTGTGCTGGACAGTTGCTGGAGGAGCAACAGAGACAATGATAGAAGGAATGGCGAGAAGCGGGGGAAACTTACTCGTAAATAGATTTTTATTGATTTTAAAGCCCCGTCCGCATATTGCAAACTAAAAATAAATTCAACCAAGCAACAGCAGGAAATGGGAATGAAAGAGCCCAGACCCGCCGAAGGGCTACAAAAGGGTACACTGCGGATGTGGCTGTGGCTGTGGTTGTGGCTGTGGAGGCAGGAAGAGCTGGTTAGCCAAAAAGGTAGTCAGGTGCAAAAATGCACTTGGAAATGTCAAAGCTTCTGGCGGTATGTCACACACAAACACAAACAAAGACACACACACACACACACACACGGATGGATAGCCAAGAGAGAGAGAGCGAGAACCAACAATATAAAATGAAATTGAAAACTAAATTGCAAGAAAGACAGAGACACAGAGAGAGAGACTGTGAAAGAGAGGGGATGGGGGATAGCGGCTGGTGGGTTGATGGGAAACCTAAACCGACTGGGCGTGACATCAAATCAAACAGCAAGAGGCGTGGAGCTCAATCTGTCTTTGAAGCGGTAACAAAGTGCACAGAAATGGCAGCCAACTTTGGCAGTAATTTGCATAGGAATAAGATCCTACCTGAGTCTTTGCCTCCTTTGACACAAATGCCGAAGCCATGATCGATCTGCTGATCGCGTGACATGGAAACGGTTCGCGTCGTTAGTTCGTGAATGTTGGGAACACTGCGATCTCTTTCCCGCTCTCGGTCCCGATAGATCTGCAATGGAAGGGGGAGATATATATGAAAACCATCAGATATGGAGGTGCAGCACCCACCTGATGCGTCGTCGAGGGCGGACTGCTGGCCGGACTGCGTCGTCCGGTGCGATCGCGTGTGCCACCATTGCTGTAGTGGTAGCTACTCGTAGGAACTGAAGACGACTGCGTGGCGCCGAACATGCGCAGCACCTGCTCCGGCGATATGGGGCGCTTCTTGTTGCCATTGCCCATGGACGAGCGCCCGCTGGCCGCTGTGGAGGTGGGCAGGGTGCCCGCCGTGCCGGCGGCCATATGGCTGGCGGGTGAGGAGCTGAGGTACGCCGAGCCGCGTCCCGGCAGCGAGCCCCCCTTGGTGGGCACCCCAGCCGAGTTAAAGTAGTAGTGGGGCGAGTGGGGACGCTCAATGATTGTGTACGAGGTGCCAGGCGGTGAGTAGTAGAGCCCAGAGCGGCCTCCGCCCCCGGCTGCTCCTCCCGCACCACCGCCGGCGCGCAGCGAGCTCGTGCTATTCCCCACGCGCGAACCGCCGCCGCCGCCGCCGCCCATACCGGACGCCGAGCCCCCGTAGGGGCCACCACTGCCGGGCGGTGGACTGATCATGCCGAAGGCCAGGCCGATGTCCTCGGCCTCGTAGCTGCTAGGAGCACCCGCACTGCTCCGCATATGGTGGGCACTGAGTCCTTGCGAGCCGCCAGTCGGCACGCTGGATGATGATTGGGTGGCGCCCGAAATGAGGCCGGCCAGTCCGCCGATGCCGCCCCCGCCACTGGGGCCGCCAAGGCCAAGTCCCGCTCCTGCTCCGCCATGATACCCATAGGCTCGTGCACTCCAACGTGAGGGTCCAAGATCGCATAGTTCGGCATAGTCGTTGCCAGCTGCGCTCATTGTCAGGGGGTCGCCGTCGTATGGTATGCCACTTCCCCCAAGGCGCATTACACTGCTGGAGCCTGCCAAAGGAAAAATTGGGATATTGGGATAAGCATTTTGTTATAAAGTAATCGAATGTGGGATACCTAGGGATACTAGTCTTATGTGCATTCTTGAATGCCTTTTGCTGGGTACTCAACCAGAATTGGGTTAAACACTCCACTCCTTTAACCGACAATCCAAAACCCCAAACCCAACCAAATCCAAAGCCCGTGCCTCGCATAACTTTTGTTTGCCTACGCAGCCCGCTAAGCCGCAGCTCAGACTGAGCCGTTTCCATTCAGAGCAAACAAAAGCTTAATCTCCAGAGTCATATGTGCGCCGCCTGTGCCACATATCCACATCCACACATCCACTCCCACCAGTCCCACCGTTCCGATTCCCAGTCCTTTTCCTGACAGACAAACACTCGCATTCACACACTCTGCGAAATCAATGGGAACTTATGCCCCATGCTTCATTATTTATGGGCCAACTTTGGTTGGCAAAACAAAAACAGGTTGCCACAAAAGCAGAGGCACCACCCTCCACACCCCCTAGTGCCTCTGCCACTGCATCTGGCCTCAGGGCAATGGGGCGGCCCCCCTCGCTCATAAATAGTTGAAAATTGCCGTGCTCACACTTTGGCACTCGGTTAGCCATGGCCTGGCAACGGGCACACACGATGGCACTGGCACTGGCCCGGCAACGTTGGGGATTTAGTGGATAAAACTGAAAATTTGTATTCGATATGCTAAGTGAAATACGACTACTCGTATACGAACTGCATTTGCAGTTATCACAGAACAGTGATAAATACGCAATAGAAATGCGGGATTACAGAAGAGCCATAAAGAGAGAGCTCTGCTTTGATTTGTGCAGATATTTAATGTAAATCTATTAGCTGGAATGGTTTTAATATTCCTCGAGGATCATACCTACAAGCTATACAGAATTGTTGTTTCCATCACTGATGGTAATTTTAATATTATGTCTGCTAATTGCCTCCATTAATTGGTTAATAAAACTTTAACAATTAATTGAGAACTTTCTTATCCACCCAACAAATATTTTTCTCCATGAATTTCCGTAAAAATTGAAATGAATCACCAGCTATCCATGCGCTAATCAATTAGGTTTATCATCCAAAATGAAGACTAACAACTTTTCACATTTTTATATGCCACAAATCAATCAGCAAAAAAGTTCCAGTTGCAGTCCAGGCCATCAATTGAGGGCCGAAACGAAAACCCACTCAATTAATCGAGTGTGAATAGCAAATAAGTTTCGGGTATTCAAATACTCTCATGAATGGGTGTGAATGGATGCCTGTAAGTGGGTGTGTTTGTGTGTGGGAGTATTCGTGTGCGTGCTGCAGAGAAAGTGCACTTTCAGCTAACCGACAAGAGCAAGAAACAAAGCGCTTGGGCAATTTGCTTTGACGCTTAAGCCCACTTAGCGGTTGCCCATTGGCAAGCACAAACACAAACAGGACACGGCCAGCACATGCACAAATACACAGCCATAGACAGCACGAGTGCAGAAGCACCTACGTAATGGCGGGCAATTGTGCTTACGTCTAACAAGCAGCCAATAATGTCCTTTTTGATTTACCGATACACATTTGCATTTCTTTTTGCTCTCATTCGCTCAATCGCTCTTTCTCTCTCCCACAATAAATTGGCAAGCAGACGCCATTACAAATGAGGCAGAAACCAGCACACACCCACACAGAAACAAAAGCGAATGTGTGCGGGGGATATGTATTTTGTATAAATATCAATAAGAAACATCAGAGACAGCTTTTCCCTATATTATATACATATGACAATAAATTTCTCTGTGGCTATTTTCCTCAACCCCCACACTCTCCCACTCCCCAACAGTCTCCCGCTCTCTCTCTCTCTCTCTCTCTCTTGTATCTATCATTTTTTTGTTGTATTTTATTTATTTTATCTTGTTGCTTTTGTTGCTCTGCCTTGGCTTTGTTATAAAATAAACGGCAAAAAAACAGCAAGCTGCAAACGTATTTACTCATGACCTTGCTGAGGCAAAGCCAGCACACACACACACACACGCACAGTCACAGACACCCATTCACAGACACACACACATGTATTTATGTATGGATGTGTGTGTATACACAGAAATACAACCACAACGTTCGCTTGGCGTTGGCGCTTGTCACAAGGACATTTTTCATGTGCGCAATGTGACATTTTTTGGAATTTGTTACTCTGACTCTGGTTTGTTCTCTGTGCCAGCCAGCCAGTCCATAGAATAGAATGCACAGTGTGCCAAAAGGGATATAAATAGGAGTACTTTTAGAGTAAATACTTGAGAAATGGTTTACAAGGGATCTTTATAGATTTTGGAATTAAGAATTATTTACATTTTATGTTTGCTAATTATGATTGCAGTTGGGATACAGTAAAGAAGCTAAAATGTTAATTTATATTTGAAAAGTTCTTAAAAGGACAGAACTGTCATGGGGAACCCTTTATTCTGCCGCTGTTTTTTTCCCTCAATAGAAAACTTATTTAATATTAATAGCAGCTATTAAATAGTTGTCCCAATATCAGTCTTAAAGATTTTTGATACTATCTGCTTCTAGCTTAATTTGCTTTTTTAATCTACTTTTTTAGCTGCTTTTCCCCAAACTTTCTTTCTCCACCAAAGAATAACAAATATGCCTGTGGCCTGGTCCCACTGCCACCAGGTCTCTGCTCTCCATTTTTTATTTCAGTCTACTTCCAGCAGATGGCACTTGGTTCTAACTGTTTCGCTGTTGTCTTTGCCCCCTCACACTTGCACTCACAATGCTCCCTGCTCCCTGCTCCTTCGGGGTCGGTTCGTGGGTTTTTGTGACTGTTGTTTGATTTGAAAATAAGTTTTGTATATTGTTCACTCCAGTTTTTATGGCACTCGAGCTTAGGCATTTTGCATTTTGCATTTTGCATGTTGCATGTTCTACATGTCTGCTTCTCTCTGTGTGTGTTTGTGTCAGTTGTACGAGCATCTTCCCTTTGCACCCTTTGGTCCAATGCCACAATGCAACTGTCGCAGTAGTTTGCATTTTTCAAATAATTGGAAAGCGCATTTCGATGTTTGAGACAGAGGCAGGAAAGTGTGCTACTCGTTTCGTTTCTCACTAGTGGCAGGCCCTACCCTGGACCCTTTTTCGCTTGGCATTAATAATGGATGTTTAATACGCGACTGGCGTTTAATGTTCAACTTTTCAAGTGCGCCTAATAGTGCCCGAGGCATATTAAATCATTAACCGTGAGCTGCAAAATTTCGCCAAGCCCCGAGCATTCATCAACGTTCATCATCCTCATCCTCATCCTCATCACCATCAAGGCTTTGCTTTTTCCCTCTACCTTTGCCGTGTTTTTTTTTTGTTCTCTCTCCTTTTTTTTCGGTAAATTTCTGGGGAAGTAATTATGATAAATGCAGGATATACACGAGTATGTGGGATGGATCAGGGGGAATGGAGGCAAGCCTCTCTGCCTCTGTGCGGCATGTCGAACTTGTAACTGGGTTAATTGCGCGTGAACAAAAATAAGGCAGAGAGACAGAGTCGGAGAGGGAGATGGATGGTGGCTAGAAGAGCAACTACATGTGCCTCGCCCATTTCCCGTTTCCCATTTCCGCTGCTTGCTACTGTCAATAAATCTTGAACAAGATCTCGAACCATTCCATTCCGATAAGCAAAGTCTGCAGTTACGTGACTCTTTTTTCTTTCTGCAAGCATTTTTGTTCTCTTTTTCATATTCCGCTATTCTTAAACTGCTCAAAGAACAAAAAAATGCAACGTGCTGATGCTGAAGGTCTTGTGAATGGAAATACTTATGGGCAGCTTAATAATGCGATCAAAAGTGTGACCTTTGTTGGGAATAATTTGTTGCCTTTTCAGCCTAAAGTATTTGTTACATTCAAAGGATTTGTCTGACATGTGTGGCAGAGCAATTGCATAATCCCAAAGCAAAAGTCATCACCCCCTGGAGGCGCTATCGATTTGCTCGCCGTGGCTTCACCCCCATTTGTGGAGAGATAAGCCAAGGGCAACCAGCATTCAAAGGACCCAAATCTCTAAAGGACACACACTACAACAATACGCACATGGCTTCACTTATTCATATGTAACACCTATTCATTCAGCCACTCCAAACAAACACTCTCGCATACACATATACAATAATGTGGGTACTAATCAGCTTTGAGCATGCTTGAGGCTCAATTACATGCGGTCTTTAGGCTACTTGAGAGCCAAAGAGTGCTCTAGGATGTGCCATCATGTATCTGTGGTACTAATCCGAATAATACGTTTCAAAACTTGATGGAACAGACAACAGCTTTAACAGCATACAATTCAATGAACATTTCACTTTAATAATATAAATTACTCTCTCTTTGAACTGTTTTCTTTTTAGTTCCATCAACTGAAATCTCTTTTCACTCAAACTTTATACTTTCTAGTCTGGAAAAAGCTGTGTAAAGTTATACTCCCCTGTTCATTATATAGAATTATGTTTACCTAAACCATCGCTCACTTCCTATATACTTAGTACTTCTTCTTTTCCACTTCCTATGTTTTTGCACCTTTTCAATTTTCTTGCTCTTGTGCTTGTTCCTTTTTTTGAGGGTGTGGTTGGTTTCCCAAAGATTCTTTCTTCTTTCCCCTGAAGCGTCACGTAGGCCACACGAAAAGAAAGAAGCAGGCACGAAAATCTGTTATAATAAGATATGCCGAATGCACATGCATAAGTTAGACACACAGAGACAGAGCCGGGACAGGCCTAAAGAACGTCGCCAAAGAAGCCCACAGAGAGAGCCTCCCTTGGCCCGAAAGAATAAGGAAAGCTGAGCTGAACACAGAAAGAAGAACAAACAAAGTTGACTTACACGTCAACTATTGATTTTTTAATTAAATATTAATGAAGCACGAGGAACGGCAGCAACAAAAATGGCACACAACACGCTCAAAACACACACAAAATATACAAAAACAAAAAAAACACACACAAAAAGCGAAGACGGG